TATATATATATATATATATATATATATATATATATATATATATATGTATATATATATATATATATATATATATATATATATATATATATATATATATATATATATATATATATATATATATATATATATATATATATATATATATATATATAATCATTCATTCATTCATTAATTTTCTTGTCGGCTTAGTCCCTTTATTATTCCGGGGTCGCCACAGCGGAATGAACCGCCAACTTATCCAGCAAGTTTTTACACAGCAGATGCCCTTCCAGCCGCAACCCATCTCTGGGAAACATCCACACACATTTACACACACACTCATAGACTACGGATAATTTAGCCCACCCAATTCACCTGTACCGCATGTCTTTGGACTGTGGGGGAAACCGGAGCACCCGGAGGAAACCCACGCGAACGCAGGAAGAACATGCAAACTCCACACAGAAACGCCAACTGAGCCGAGGCTTGAACCAGCGACCCAGCTACCTTCTTGCTGTGAGGCGACAGCACTACCTACTGCGCCACTGCTTTGCTTATATATAAATATATTTTTGTTCTTGAATAACTGAAAATAACACTCCCAATTGGAAAAAATATCTGGTGAAAGATTCATTCATTTTCTTTTTGGCTTAGTCCCTTTATTAATCAGGGGTCGCCCCAGCAGAATGAACCGTCAACTAATCCAGCATATGTTTTTATCACCGCAGCTGCCCTTCCAGCTGCAACCCATCTCTGCGAAACATCCATACAACCTCACTCACACTCATACACTATTGACTATTTAGCCTACCCAATTTACCTGTACCACATGTCTTTGGACTGTGGGGGAAACCCACACGAACGCAGGGAGAACATGCAAACTCCACACAAAAACGCCAACTGACCTGAGGCTCGAACCAGCGACCTTCTTGCTGTGAGGCGACAGCACTACCTACTGCGCCACTGCGTCTCCATGAAAGATACATTTAAAGTATTTTAGTTGACCAGCATCTGTGACTTATTCAGAAAAATATTCACAGAATCATTCACAAAATAAAGAATGTTTAGTAATTATTAGTTTGTTTATACTCTCATTTAAAACTTATGGAATTATTTGTGATGACACGATGGCTCAGTGGTTAGCATTGTCGCCTCACAGCAAGTAGATAACTGGTTTGAGTCCCAGCTGGGTCAGTTGGCGCTTCTGTGTGGCGTTTGCGTGTTCTCCCTGTGTTGGTGTGGGTTTCCTCCGGGTGCTCCGATTTCCCCCATAGTCCAAACACATGCGCTATAGGGGAATTATATTAACTAAATTGGCTGTAGTGAATGAGTGTGTATGGATGTTTCCCAGTACTGGATTGCAGTTGGAACGGTACCACTGTGTAAAACATACGCTGAATAAGTTGGCAGTTCATTCCGCTGTGGCCACCTATGATGAACAAAGGGACTAAGAATGAATGAATTTGTTTATCTGTCTATTATTATTTATATTAATTAGTTGTTCACAATGCCGATATCAAACAAACAAACTAAACTTAACTAATAAATCAAGTTGCACACAAATGCAAAGTAAATCTGTTTGTTGGAGCGGTTGTGATAAAGCTGTGGCGCACCTTGTGTGTGCTGCTCATGCTCAGCTGGTAGTGCAGGTGTGAGATGAATAAACTGCGGATCCAGGAAAAAGCTTCATATCCACTTTGCCACTGGAAAACAGCACTGTTCTTCACCCAGAGCACGGACAGGTCAGACGGAGGGACTGGACGAACTACAACACACACAGGTTTTTATGTTTTATGGGGTCTTCTCACAGACTAAATCATTGTTATTCTGTACCCAACCCTCACAGAAAA